ATGTATATATACATATATGTATATGTATTCGTGTATATTTATATACATATATAAACCATATATATATATATATATATATATGTGTGTGTGTGTGTGTATATATGTATGTATGTATATATATTTTATATTTTATAAATATATATATATATATATGTATGTATATAAATATATATATGGATATATACATATATATATATATAGTGTGTGTGTGTGTGTACGTGTGTTTGTGTAATAATATCTATGTTTGATGTAATGTCCCGTCTTGATTTCGGAATGAATTGTCGCAGAGCCCGTCTTCCGACTATTTTAAGATGTGTTCACATATTAGCCTTCGCGTAGGTTTTTGCTACTAATCAGTCTCACAACATAAATAAATTAGCAATTCGATGCACATTCAAAGATCTGAACAACGTGGTTCCCATATTGCCTGTTTTGGTTGTATTTACAACCGAAAATAGGGAACAGTTTTTCAACCTTCTTGCATAATGGAGCTTGGTATCGGTATTCTGGTCGTGCTAGGGCAAATTATGAATTACGAATAAGATAGTGTTATCTTGCTGCACTCCTATATTTTAATCAGACAAGGTAATTACATCGCTATAATACAGAAACAATGTACGATTCGGAACAAGTCGGGCACTTCCAAGCGGTCGACGCAATCGACATGATACCTCTGTGCGTTTTTACTTCATCTGGCTCTATTTGAAGAATAGAACGCAATGTTCATAATTGTACAGATGCATTCTAAGCAATTTGTGCAAATCAATTCATTCTCAACGAACGCTTCCCGCTTTGGCGCGAATGATTTGCGTTTTAAATGATACAGAGATGACCTAAATTCTTAGAATATATGTTTCACTCGCATGCACAGTCCTACTCACTCCATATTGAAGTGCGATCAATATTCCATGAGCCTTCTGCCCGTGTGGCTGTTCCCAAGTTGATGACCCGCACATCACCAGCAGAGTTTTGTAGGCTCTTTAGAGTTGTGGTTAGATCGAACTTGGAGAGTGTGGGTAAAGCTATTGTACGGACATAGTAGACTAGATTCGTGGCGTCTCGTACTGACTGCCACTGTGTTCGATCTTCTTGGCCTTCACCCAGGTATAATCCGTCATGTGAGTATCTCCATGGGATAGTATTCGCTGTGAGCATATCCAGCGTGGTCAAGACCGCCGTTCTGTCCACACTGCCGTCATTTGGTGTGTAGGGATACGCCGTGGTCTGCTCGAACCAGGGCATGATCCTATTTAGACTGTTGAGGTAGTACAATCGAAGAAACCTTGCCTCGGGATAGTACATATAGTTGTAATCAGTGATATTCAATGCATCGACCTGAGTCATATCCCAGTCTGCTGCCAACGCCTGCTCTAAGTTGACTAATTGCGCCGGGAGTTGTGGCGAATTAGTCAGCACAGGCACGTCCACTGTAAGTGTCATTTTACCGGGTTCGTCCCATTCGATTACGAGCGATTTCCCAGCAGCATCGTGCAAGATAAGATGCACTAGAAGAAAGGCTGGAACCTCCAGATAAAAGGGCACCTGCATAATTGTAGGGTCTAGCAAGGCTTGTACATCGGCGATGTCTTTGCACATGCTCAAAAGGTACGTAGACAGATCATATACAGTCACGGCAAGCTCTGGACCATTAGTGTCGTAAGGTAAGTAGCCAGCAGTGTTTCTATCCCATAGTACTCCTACCGTCAACCCTTCTGTGTTCATACCGTCTGTGATTGCGATGAGATTGTCTGGAATGATTGTTCCTGGACCTGTGATATTAAATTCACCAGCAACTCCTATGAACCCGTATTTATTAATGTATGTAATCATAGTATCTTCAATCGCGACGGGATTGAATCGCGACAGAGTGGTATTGGGTGTCACGGCAGCTAAGTTCCAGTTGACGCCCCATGTGCTGTCCATGTTACGCCCACTTACAACGATATTTTCTGGGTAGTCATAGTGCGTTGTATTGAGGAGAAACTCGTCACATGCTGACGATGTTAACGCGGTTGTAAGTATGATTGTACAGATATCGACTCTTCCGAACATCAAGAATCACGATGTTATTTGTGCTCTGAAACGTGTTAAATAGTTGTTTTGAGGTTGCAGTAGTTACGAGTATTACGTTATATACAAACATTGACCCTACATAACTCATTATTGAGATTTACAGACTACATATTTGTTTTGTAAAAAGAAGGCAATGAAATAAAGTTGTCGAGTTCATATGTACATACATAGTGGCATTTTCATCACTCTGGTAGAGGTACAGTGATAAATAACTTAACAAGTATATACTACAGAGTATTTACCTGGGTTGGTATACGACAACGACATACATACAACCCTGAAAAAATGTCGTCTCGAAATGTGTATTTAAATATGTAGGCGACAATACAGCCACCAGCAAACCTGCCGACACCATGTCGCGACCGACATGTCCTACAAAATGTCGCCGTGACATGTATGGCATGTCGTTTGCCCAAATGTCGGCGTCGTTTACCAACCCAGGTATTTACAGGGAGCAGAGTTGAGTCACTGATTTCCGAGACTTGCCGAGTAAGTAAAGCAATATCTACTCTTGATACATATCTTTACGAAATTTATTTGCTGATATTTATAGCTACAATTACTCCTATTACTAAATCGGAAATTGGAAATTGGATTCCGATGTTGAGAATAAAAAAATAAAAATTATTTTACAAAATTTTGTCTGATTTCAGAAGGCTACGAAATGTCGATTTCGTATGTATTCATAAAATACTGCGCGTTTTAATCTCGTTATTCTGGGGCCGTCCGTATGGTCTAGAAACTTCGATAGTCCATATATCATAGAACATAGTAGCTATCACTCTCTTGCGATAATATCATCGCATATTCAGCACATCTCCGCCCTATTTCACATACATTGTCTTCATCACTGACAATCATCACTAATATGTCGTACTTGGGAATGGCGTATGATTTCACTGAGGATGAGATCCTGGAGGCCATCTGCGCGATCCCACCAACTCGCATCACCTCTGATTGTGAGCGGGTACTAGATGGGCCTATCCCACGTCCCTTACCCTTACCTTAGTTTTGCGTTAACGACTTTTGGACACATAAGGAAATTCATCAACTGATCAATGTCGTTGTCGCGTCGTCAGAGACATTGCGGGCAGGCAGAACCTCAACTCGTGATGGTCTTACAGTGCTAGGTGCCCTTGATTGTAAACACATTTCGGAAACTTTAAAAATTCGAGGTGAGCAAACGTAAAAAGAGTTTACGCCAACCAAGACAATGGCGGAGATGAATGAGGCTATAAACATTAAATTCCATGACCTCAGAGTCAGGCTCGGAAAGGCGAAGCCTAATACCTACGCCCTCCCCGGTTCACTCACTGATCGAATAGCACACCCAGCCGCCACGCCCAAGGGTAAGGAACTCGCCATGAAGTTAAAGACACCCGCGCCACGCCGATCGATCTGCATTGCAGAACAGGAACTGGCAACAAGCGCCGTCGTACCGCTGAGGATGAAGCCAGATCCAATGGCCAGGAAGCCATTAAAATGGTAAAAGTCCAGACAAGATCTGGAAACTGTAGAGCAAACATTCCTACACACAAACCTGCAAGCGATACTGAATCGTGAAAGGCTGGCGCACCTCCACAGCTCACTTGTAGAAGGCAGGTTTTTTTCTCAATAAAAAATGTTTATCAACTTAGAACTACAGAAGTCGTAATAATATGTGCTCAACAATTCCTTATTCGACCCTATGGGCGCGGATAATTGAACATAATAACACTGGCGACTGAATGCATGGCCTTAAGGCTACTATCAATTAATCGCTATTTTCACTTGAATGCTATTGCAAAGTCATTGTCAATCAAAGGCACTAGGCTGTGACAGATCTTCTTGCATACAGCTACCGATATATATATATATATATGATTCATCTAAAGTTGGTTGCTCTTCTATCCGTTGGGAATCGTTGCATTTTAATAAGCGCATATTAAATAGTTCAGATGTCAATCTAGACCCCATACAACCTTCGCCGCAATTTGATGAGATACCACAAAAGGCACGCCAAACAAGCCATCACCGCCACATCCGTCTGCTCCGATGCCATCGCGCTTATTTCATTGGTGGCTATTGATAAATGCTCGGAGGTGTGAAGACCCGTCACAAACTCCTTGACCGAGAGTTTCGCCAGTGCCAAACTGACAGGGAGATACACATTCGGGTCTCGTTCGATAGCCCGATCGTAGTTTCGGCGGGCGATGTGGTAGTCCTGTGGTGTATAGAGTAGGATGGTTGCACCAATACCAATCAGGCGTCAGAGGGGGGCTTAAATGTGAGTATAGTGTAAATGAACTATATGGAGGGCCATGAGATCCCATCACTGATTCGGGGTACGAGTTAAAACATATTAATAATAATAAATGCAATTTCCTGATCATTGACGCTTAGTGTATACATAACACAGAAAGTCTTCTCATTGCAGTGTGTGCGGCCCATGGTGGCGATCTACACACACGCATACACGGATTAGTAGGCTAAAGTCTCAAACACTTCAATGTCTAGGAGCGTTCCGTGTACGGCGCATACGAAATGTACTCACCACTTCACCGGCATCTCCACTCTCATGCATGGTGCCGAGATTGAAGTACGCCTGCACACTACCCATGGACCCCGCTATCCTGTATTGCGACAAGGCAAGCTGCGTGGAGGAAGGAGACGAATGACACAAGGTTACGTATATGAACTATGAACGACGCATGTGATTGATTTAACAGATACACAGAAAAACATGTGTAACACTAGCTATATATACAGATATACATACAGACAAGTATATATATATGTATATGTATATATAT